CCAAATGATGTCCTGCTGAATAATAACTGAGTATTTTTGAGACTGAGATCTGAAACTTGCTGCCAGAGAGCATATAGAAGTTTCTTTATAGGTGACTATGCTCTGGGCAGTGCTCTTTTTTCCATAGTCTCATGTACTCTGACTGAAATGTGAAAATTACTGTATTATGTAAATTATGATTCTGGATATTTAATTGGCATGAATTTTAATTTCTAATTCACCACAGGTTATTAAAGCCTTTGATTATTTCCAGTGCTTTTTGAAAGTATATTAATTAAAAAATCATCTTTTTAGCTTTCCATAGTAGATTCAAATGAGTAAGCAAAGTATCTCTTTTAATGTAAGATGTTGCTTTTGGAAAGAGACGTATATTCTCTAGGTATAGAACTTGACAGACATTCTAGCCTATTTCTACTTGGTAAGTTCCATTAGCTTTGTGGTTTCTCTTTAGAGAGATATTTGCCTCCTTGTCAAAAATTCTTGTACTGCTCCCATATGAATCCAAATAAGTTCAAGCTTCTTATCAGTGATGAAGTGCTTTTAATATAAGGTCTTCTTGAAGGCTGAACAGCTTTTTTTATGAATAGCTTTTGAACTCACTGTGTTTGGTGTCCTTAGAGGGTATCATTTTTATTATTTACAGTAGCTATTTTGACCTTAACCTAATATTTTTGCTTTGTTACATAGGTTTTATTGTGTGCTTTTCCCCATAGTAGCATGATTTATGACAGGGTAGGATAGAGCACATGAGGTTTTTCCAAGACTTTTTAAATACCCACCTCTGGCCTTCTCCTGGCTTGTTAATGCTTCACTGCCAAATTTTATCATTTTCTTTTGTAATTATTTTCCTTCTTAGTCTTCAAGATCATTTTATAAGGAGAATTAAGACAAAACAGTTGTTCATATTCTAAATGTGCTGCAAAATTCTGGCATATTAATAGTTACTAAATTTTGATGAAATTTTCATTTGGTCACAGAAAGTTACAGATTCTAAGTGATTGTGCATAGCCTTTGTGCATAAGTTGAACTCATGGGCTTAAAACGTACCTAAAAGACTGTCTACAGCAGATCCAAAGTACTTTTAATTTGTCTGGTAGACATTCATTGAGCACCGCTTCTACCAAACCAAAAACCACTATGGCCTCAAAACCCTGAAGCATTTGTTATTTACTGGAGGATGGAAATGGGAGTGGAGGAGATAAGGATTAATTCAAATCAGTAAGGGGAAAATAAAATTACAAACAATGCTCTGGGAAACATAAAGGAGGGAACAGTTAATTCAGTCTAAATAAAATGGGACATTTTGCCACAGAACGTAATATTTGATATGAACCTTGAAGGACAAGAATATATTCACAGGTGGAAAAAAGGAGGAACAAATGCAAGGGAAATGGAACAGCATGAGTGAGAAAAGTATCCTTTGATAGTTATGAAATTGATATAGCTACTACTTTCAATCATATGATCTGTTTACCCATGATGCTCAATACTAACTCTACCAGGGAAATTACTCCTTTTGGTCACATGATCTACTTACTCAGCATCCTCAGTCTCAACTCCAAATGCATTGAAACTATTGGATTAATTTTAATTTGCACTGTAGTCATAACTTGAGAATAAACAAAATGGATAAAAAGTTATCCCCATAACTGCACCTCTCCATGGTGGTAGTGATCCCAATGGAATGATCACATTTGACTGATCTATGTATATTGGTTAATTTAATGAATGATTAATTTCTAAACCACTTATCTAATAAAAATGTTGAGGCCCTATTTAATGAAAATACTGAAATTACAGAAAAGCAAAGCTCTGGTTGCAATTATGTAAATAGGAGCAAATAGGTAGAACACATGTAATTAAGGCCCCAAACTTCAGAAGAAATACTGTGTGTACCTATGCACACCAATAGGAAAGGAACATAGGATAATAGGAGCCAGCTAACCTTATTGAATGAGGCAATGTTTCTGAGTAGCAGTTTGAAGGAGAAACTCATGGTTTATGTACAAAATAATACCCTGGAGTTCATTCACTGGGAAAGACATATTTTTTTTTTTCTTTGAGTGTCTCTCATGGGCCTTGTTAGCTCATAGCAACATCTAGGTTTATGCTCTTTCCAAGGTTGAAAGTGCCTATTGTCCTTTCTAAATAATTGCCTTTGTTTTTTGCACATCTTTATGCAATAGTCTTCTTTAATAGAATAGAATGCACTCAGCTTCAGAAACAGAGTAAAAGAGAACTCTAAATAAAAGAAAAAGGTTGGTTAAGAACACTTATGAATTGTTTTTGGTATAGAATATTACAGATATCCTCTAAAATTCTTAAAAAATAATTCACACTCAACATTAAAAATCTATGATTGGGGTTGAAAAGTCAATTGACTTGTTTTTAATCAATTATTCTAGTCTATTTCAAAACTATCATTTTAGGTCAATCCTTTTTTATGGAGAGTTCCTTAATTCCAACTGATTAATAAATTTTATTTTTTTAAATATATTAGGCTTATTTATACTTCCTTTCTAAGTACTTAGGGCGTATCATTTTCTTATGTTTTCTGTACCTTCCTAGTTAGTGGAAACATTGTTTGTTCTTGGAGTGTGCTTTGTCTTCCTTTTCAAGAAGATCATCAAAGTTACTAGTTTGCAGCTCCCAAAAAGAAAAGAGCCTTCTAATCCCTGGTTCAGAGGCTAACCTTTATTAGCGCTCTTGTGGTTATAATGAGGACCCTGCTTCCAGCAGGGAGATTCTGGAATACTGAACAGATTATTCAACAAGTTCAGAGCAGATTTTGAAGTCCCTTATAAAACCTGCTTGTGAATACTGCTTTCTTTGCTTTGCTATTTCTGGTTTCCATAGTATTCCTAATTACATAAATCATGTGGAGCATGGGAGTTTTTTCCATCCTGTATCAGTTCTGACACTGCTTGCATTTTGATATAATTTGTATTTTTTTCCTAAACTATATATAAATTTTTTTCTTAAATTCTTATTTAAGAGGACACAAACTGCGAAAACTGGAACTTGTATTAGAGGCTCTATGAAATTATACTTTGGAATTCCTTGGGCTGAAATAAAGAATTTGGAAGTTATTTTGTGGCAAGCATGGATGAATAAGGCTATAACACTAGAGAATCTGAGAACATGTTCTCAGGTTTAAATTCAAGATTAAATCTAGGATATAGATCATGCAGGTTTATTACCTACTTCTCAATTTACTTAAAATTATTTCAACTTAATAGCTATTTATGTAATGCCTTTCCATGTTCAAAAACTGTAATAGGTTCAATGAGTGTACCAAATTAAAAGTTTACAAATTAAAACCCAGTACATAGTAATGTATGAATGTTATAACAGTTAACTAAAAGCACTGATGATTTTTAAGCTAGTTTTCTTTAGGAAAAATTATAATCAAGATTGGTTTATACCATACATTTTTTTAAAGATTGGAGAGTTATAATTCTAAAAATAAGTTTCTTTTTCTTTCTTTTATAGTATATATGATCTTATATTTTAAAAAGTTTGCGGTATTTATGATAAAACTTAATAGAAATAATTGCTCCAGTATAAACATGGTTTTAATATGAGAATTTTACGGATTAATTTCTGAGGCTGGATGAGTGAATTTCATGCACGCAACTAAAGATGTCTAAATAGTCATTGGGTCGTAATTTTCTTTTAACTTTATTTATAGTAGTTTTAGAAAAGCTTAAGTTCTATTTCCAACATTCTCCTTAGTGTTGAATATATTAGAAAGAATTTAAATTGTGCTATGGTAGAGAGTTGCAGAACTTAGTGCCATAAAATGCATAACTTTTTTACTGGGAGCAAAATTCAGCAGAATACCAATAGCAAAGGCCATTTGCATAACTCAGCCGCTCAGCAGCTCAGCTGAACCTAATTGTAATTCAATTTCCAGATTGCTACGCTAGGCCTCTTTGCATAAAATATGCCACATATAACATAACCAATGGCATGGAGCTAGGAGCTATTTTCTTTGCTGGTGATCTATTTAATTTCTTTTCTATTAGAAATATGTATCAGAATAAGGTAGCCAAGCCATATAGTTATTTTGTATGTTTATATTGTGTTACATGTGTATACTTAAGACCAAGTTAAAAAATGATATCCCTTCATTTTTCTGGGTTCCCAAATGTACCTAAGATTTTTTTTTATTTCTTTATTTCTGTCATTTCAGAGGGAAATTAAATCTTGAAAAAATGTTAGCTAGTTGCCATGTTATTTGACTATTTTACACTAGAAAGACTTTATAAGCTAATCGTGTGAAAAAGTATATAAACATGCCTGTCAAGTCCAGTATAGATGTTGTAATACGGGCCAGCAAGTAAATATCTTCTATCTGTTTACAAAATGGGTACTGGAATAGCATTCCTAAATCTTTGACTAGCTTTTATCCCAGAACCTTAAAAACAAAAAGGTACGATAAAATGCTTAAGATTCCTTTTATTTTTAAACAGCCTTGCCACCTTGTTTTTATGGGTTATTTAAGCAATGGCAGTGAAAAGACTTGAATAGGATGGCTTATAAAGGTGTGGATTATATTTTATGAATAATTTCCAGATGTGATGTTTTAGATATAGAGACTCCTCTATGGGAAGCTATATACAGAAACAACATGGATCTTACAATTTTATCAGGACAATGCAAGTAGATTTCAGCAAGGTTGGTTCCAACTCATCTGTGATAAATGAGAAGATAAGGCAATCAGTGCACACCATGACACTCTGTGCAGCTAGTTAGGCACACTTCAGAACTATTCAGGTGTGCTCACAAAGCTTATGAGTCTTGCATGGGGGGTGTCTCAATATAAATACATCCTTCATGGTGGCCACTAGTAATGCAGGAATTGCCTCTGTAAGACTTAACCCAGGTCAGATATAAATAATAGATGTTAAGAGTTAGTTCTGGTACTGGGGCTGTGTTCCAGGCAGTGCATTTCAGTTGGGTCAAAAGAATTTATTTTCCCTTATTTTCTTGCATAGTTCCTCTGCTTGAAAAATGCCTGCAAAATTCCATCACACCTTTGCGGGGACCAGTTTGGGTCTCTAAGGGAGAAGGTTTCAGCCCCTCAGGAGCTAAGATGTACATCCAAGGAGTTCTTTTGGCCTTGTACCAACGACTAAAGTCTGCAAAAAAATATTATACACAGGTGAGTCATCCCTCTTTAAAAATGGCTTTATTATGTGTTTTAAAATGTACTTGGTTGTATAGAGGTGATGATTGGCATTGTGTCATAAAAAAACTGTGACATGTATTTTGTGAACTCAGTACCCGTTAGGGAGCCAAAATGCTTCTTCTGTAATCTCAAAGCCAACAATAATGGGGCTAATTGTATCTGTCTTTTGGTATGGGATGTCATATGTCCCATCTTTTCTTGCTGCATACTGTGCAAAGCGACGGCAACTCCTTATGTGGAATTTCTATAGACAGTTACTTTAAGCAAGAAAATGAATAGCTCCTAAATCATTTGAAGGTTTAAATGCTCAGCCTTCTTTTTTCTCTTCTCTTCTTTCTTTCTTTTTTTTTTCAGTATGAAGTAAGAATGGCTATTGTAGAAGCTGGGCTAAAATGTAAACCAATCGCATTCTGGGAAAAGAAATTGTGAATTAACTTCTTGTCAAGACTAACTCACTTCATTTATGCTTATTTAACTTGTATGTTTAGAAAGTAAAGAAATAGAACTAATATATTTGAATCTGGTTAAACTTAATTTTGTCCTTTAATTTCTAAGTATCCTTTCCATAACTGAGTGTGTGTGTGTATGTGTGTGTGTAAAGACTTTGATATTTTTAGAACTACTTATAGGGACTTGGATTTATCTTAAAGTGGAACTAACATTGCAAAGCGGAATGATTGATGGCCATTTTAAAAATAAAAATGGAGTTACCACATTTTTAGAATCCCCTCTGCACTTGGTCTTAAGAAGTTAAGCATATATTTTACCATCTTAAATGAAGTCTAGGTTTTACATTTCTAACTATGAGGAACTGGGCTCATTATCTCAGGCCACAGACCATTGAAAAATGAATATTTTGAAAGCATCACGCTATTATTCTCTGTGTGCTGGGGGAGGGGAGGTAAGAATGGGATGTGGTCTCAGTGTTCGCACAGCACCTCCTGCTGTCTGGTTTGGAAAAGGACAATTTGTATTGACGAAATTCTTGAACGAGGTATCCAGAATTAGCAAGAAATATCTTCCCATGAGAAACTTTTATTCTCAAAATGTGATTATCTGCTTAGTTAATTAATTTTAGTGGGCCCAGAAATGGGATTAATAATTATTATAGATAAGGCTATTTATAATAATAAGTATGAAAAAATGCAAATCCAAACTTATTTTTGGAAGTTTTTATTAAGCCAATATTATATATAAAAACTGGTACAAGTATATTTTATTATAATTTCAGTCAAATTATTTAAATTGAAATATATTTAACTTTTAAGATACAATGATATAAAATAGATTATGACCAGTTTAATTATCATAATTTATTTGGTATTAAATGGTTTGATTCTACTTATTAGACAGTTTAAAATTATTTGATGTTTAAAAAAGAGATCATTCTCCAGTTCGAGGAAAACCCTGTTTAAATCAAATCTTAAAAAACTTAAACATTTTCTAAGTTTTATTAAAAGTGAGGATGTTAGAGATAAGAAACTGCTCAGAAAGTAAAGGCTTGTTTTTTTCCTTCCCTTGTCCTAAGCATGTAAAATTGAAATGGATATATACAGTTGTACTAGATTGAAAAGAGTTCTGTGTATTGTGAAAAAAGAAGGTTTTTCAAGAATTACTTACTGCTTTGATTTTAAAGGTTTCTTTAGGACTCAAAATTGATGAAAAATATATTTTGAACAAAATATGAACAATAATTAACATTTTTAAAAAGCATCTTTGAAGTTGTCTAGATCATCAACACTCTGCCAAATTTGGGAATATTTAAAAACCTAGGCTCTTTGCCATTCCTAACTAAACCTTTTACTTTTGCTAAGTTGTAATAACTTAAATCTTTGCACTCAACAGCTTTAATGGGACACTTGTTTAGGTTTTATTTTAAAATATAAACATGAAGAAAAAGAAATAGAAATTTACCTGTTATGCATTTTCGTGCAAATTTCTATTTCTTTTAGATATGCTCAATTCCATGTATTCTTGAGTCTCTTTTGTATTGTTATATCATGATTTAATTTAAAATTATTTGCAATGTTTAGATAAGTCACTGTAGCGATACCATTGTCAGGTCATCAGTGGCTAAGTGTTAAGCCTGGCAATCGCCTTAATGTGAGTAGGGCTTCTTAGCAAATATCCTTCTTAGCACTAATGAACTTTATTTGAACTGCATTTACTTCATTTGACCTTAGGGATAGCCTTTTCTATTTAGTTTTATATAAGATCATGTTAAGGAATCATTAGATAGGTAAAATGGAGATGGGTGATGATTCCTATTTCCTTAACAAATCTAAGCTTATAAATTATTGAATTAGATGAACTCTTGATATTATTTCCATTGATTTCATTTCTGAGATAATATACAAAAACAATGATATTGTTTTGCTGGGATTCTGTCAAAGGAAATTTCTTTAAATCTTTAAATTGGATGTCTCGGGATTCCCAAAGGGAAATTCTTTTAAATAATTTGATAAAATAGATCTAAAAGGAAAGTCAGAACTACTGGTTTTATGTTTATAGACTTATTCATTTTTCAATTTCTAACTTTAACTTGGCTATTATAGCATGCAACCGAATTAAGCCCACTACATTAGTGTGGTCTTAAATATATACTGATTCATGTATATAAAATGAGATATTATATTTAGGACAGCATAAAGTCACTTAGTCTTACATTTATCACATTTATTTCCTTAAAAGTGGAAACATCTTAGAAATTGCTCAGAGCTAAGCAGAATCTATTTAATTGGTAATCTTTGAAGTAGCATAAACGCATTCCTATGAAATGCAGTTAACACTTTCAGCGACAGGGCCTGTTCCATCTCATTAGCATTCTTGTTAAGTAGTGGTGCTGTTGGTGGGGGTGTTGAAGTAGGAATGCCATTGTGTCGAGTTCCAGTGTTTGGGGACAAACACTGCTGTGGAAGGAACGTGTGAAAAGGCCACAGTCCTGTCAGTGAATGAGGAAGGCTGTGCTTTCTGTGCGCTTCAAGCAGGGAAGCTGTCATTCATAGGCCTAACACGGCTAAGCAGAGGCCAAAACACAAGCCTGCACTACCTTTTAAAATGATATTAGTGGTTTTTAAACACGATCTTCTTTATTTATGATCCAACATAGAGCTTTTCGTTGCTGTCAGTAAACAAAATATATGTCAGTCCCTTCAGAAACACTGTGGAGATACATAAAAGTCCATGGAACTGTGCCAGGAGGCTGTATAAATAATGGTTTGGAATGACTGATCTTAAGTACAAACGTGATCTTTAGGAAATGTTCATTGCGGGAAATGTCTTCTCGGTTTTGATACTTCTTTGCATGTTTCCCCCCAACCAACAAAATTCCTGGGTACATTTAAATAATGAGTGCATTGCACTCTTCTTTTAACATAGTTTCTAAAAGAACTCATAAACATACAGCATAGCTTAACAGTTGTTATTGATTGCATCATCATTTTCGAAATTCAGAGAGAAACAAAGGAGATGAGTATCTAACTGTAACATCTTAACAACCACCATCTTAATTATGAAGAAAATCATAGTCTCTGTGGAATTTAAGATATGAAAAAATTTGAAGGAAATTTTTTATCTTATTCCTCATTTTCAGCACTTTGGAAATTAATGATCTTTGAAATTAAATTTTAGCTTGTTGATAACTTAAAAACAAGAAATAAGAAAAATACACCCAAATATTTCTTAAACTCTTGGAGCATTTTCTAAACTTAAAACAAACAAACAAAAAACAACCTGACAATTTCTATTTACGTCTGAAGCTGCAGGCAAGTGTTTTATTTCTGTAATTTTAATTTGGAAATATGTACTTGGGCTGTTTGTAATAGGCCCTTACTTAATGAAGTTTGTTGAAAACTATAATTTTCTGCCTGAGTGATTCAAGTTTTTTTGATATATGGTCCTTTTGATTTATTAATATAAGCAAGGTACTTTTAAAAATGCTATTATATGCTATTTCTAAATGTTCCATTTTTGGTGTGTTGGGTTTAAGAACCTTAGACACTAAATCTCTATTTAAAAATTGGGTTTCACTTTTTAAACTGGAATTGTACTATAACTTTATTGTACTATAACTTTATTTATGTAATTAGATGAGGAAATGACCATCCAGCTTCAGCATATATTGGTTTTGCAGTTTAAAACTGAAATGTATTTTATTAATACATTAAACTAACCTCTACCAAAGCTCTAGATTTTGTTAAAAAATTTTCCTAAGTTAATGTTGGTTCACTTTATCCACGTTCTTAATAAGTTTGATACTTAGATATCAAACCAATAATAATAATAATATAATTCTACTCAGAAAAGATTCAGTTCAAAATACGCTTGAATTACATTTAGTGCTGACGGAATATGTCGATTGCAAAAAGTATTTTTAAAGGAATGTTAATATTTTAATTTTCCATAAAAGAAGTATTGAAAGTTTATCTTTTTATATCTTGTATCTTAGATCAAAGTCATTTATTGGTCTTAACACGACTGAAGGAATAACTATTTCTATTTCATTTTTTATATATACTTTATTTTTGGTATGCCAGCTACTTTTCCTCCCTGTTTTATTGGATATAATTGACATATAACATTATGTAAGTTTAAGGTGTAAAATATGATGCTTGGATACACTTAAATATTATAAAATGATTACCATAGTAGGGTTAGTTAATACCTCTATCATCTCACATAGTTATCATTTCTTTTTTGTGGTGAGAATGTTCAAGATCTACTCTCTTAACAACTTTCAAGTATATAATATAGTATTGTTAACTATAGTCACTTTCTGTACATTAGATCCCCATCTATATATACATTAAAAATTGGGCTGTTTCCTTGATTTAACCTTCATGGGTCAATACCCAAAATAGGTCAATTTTGAACTTCTTGATGTCTTTTGAAAGCTTGGAACAAAATTTATAATATATAAATATAACTTATTATTAAACACATTAAAATTGTGTTGCAGATGTTTCAAGTAGTTTGAAAACTACTTCTGAAGGTTCTGATAGGTAATGTTTTAGAATATTAGGTTGCTTGTAGATTTGAATGATGGTTGATTTTTTTTCTTTTCCTGAAACCAAGCTGCATTCTAGTTACTTGAAGTATTTTAAGAACCTTAAACTTGTGTCTTTTTCTAAGTGTCATGCTTTGAGCAGGCCTAACATCAGTTAAATGAAGTGAAAATTGCATTCTTGTCTTGATAGAGATGAAAATGGATTTCTGGTCATGAAATAGATGTAGTTGTCACTTTTTAAAAAAGGTGTCAGCAGTTTGCTTCAGTGAGTAAGGTGCCAATTCAGTATGGCAGTAAACTTGTGATCTGAGCAATCAATAAAATGCTTCAATAACTTCTGCTTCATTACACTTATAATAAGAGGCTATAGATCCGTGGCACATAAAATGTTGATAAAGAGGATATGTGGGGACTGACTGTGACAATTTTCTTGAAAGTACAGTAAGTGCAATATTGCCATCTAGAGTTTGTGCATAGGTAATTATTACAGAGAGGGACAAAAACCACGATGGGATAAAACAGGAAATGATATTGAAATACTGTTTATTTTCCATCATTTATCCATGACACATTTATCGTCATGGAACATTTCATTTGATTTGTCATAAAGCTGTTTAGGTCAGGAGAAAAAATTTCCAATCTGTATTTTTCTCTAATTCTCTTAGAATTATACTACCAAATGTCAAATATGTATCTCTGGCTCAAATTTGAACTTTT